TGGCCGCCATGAAACTACAATTTGGGATAGGATTTCGAGCTTTTTATGCTCAACTATGCGACCCTTATCGCAGTGAGCACGCCGAATCAAAGTTCGCGATATGATTCATTTATGTGCTTATTTTCCCGTCTGTTTACTCTCCCCCGCTCCCAATCACGTCTTGTTCGGTGGCCAAATTTGCAACATTTTCTTCTTGATCTATTAGAAATCATTTCGTTGGAAGCTGTTCTGATTTCAGCCGCTCACCGCTTCTCGCTTGCTCTCTATCACAGCTCGATCAACCTACTTTTGTTTCATCCCATCACTCATTTTCAGTTGTGTCCCTGGACTGTATGTTGTTCACCCGGAAGTTCACAATCCACTGATTAGCCGGTATTCCATCGATGATCATTCTCAAATAGACGTGTGTTGAGTTTAACGTTCAATTAATGTGGACTAGCTGTCGAACTAAGTTGCGAGTGCACTGTCTTCATATGTAAGTGGAATATGCTAAGCTATTCTGCGAAATCCAGTTTAGTCGCTCATCTGAAACCACTACGATTGTTCAATCAAGGCCAATGGCGGATTTGTAGTAACTTTTCAAGTCATGTTCTACCTATCTGATAGTTATGTTCTCAGACATCATATCCTGTTAAGCCAAATTTTCTATAAGTTACCAATTATGAATTAGAATCAGAATTGCATTGAGTAACAGATGTGTTTCAGAACAGTAATCTCTACTATTGCAGTATGCAGGACCGACCCCAGTTCTGAATCCAATCGAAATACACTGGTAGATTGATTCCGGGCAACGCAGTCCGAGTTCTTATACAATTAGCGTCTTCACAAAAGGCCGCACAATCCCTGGCCACTTACTGACGCTCTCAATACACAGATAGGACACACCTCTCACAGTGGGTTCCCCGTGGAGGGGGCTTTCAACTGACCTGCAAGACAGGGAAAATACCAAAAGCAACCATGAACCGAAAAGTACAATGAGACATGCAGACGACTCACAATCAAATGAAAATGGCTGCGCCAGTGTCTTCACTACACTAGTAGCCGGATCACAAGTGGCAACATGCTTGACAAAAAGCTGTCATTATGATGAAGATTGTACATTTACCCCAAATGACAGATCAAATACAGAGGCCAAAGTTATTAAATTAACTTTTGATTAATCTATGATGTCTCTCGCAGGCGGGAAAAGCATTCTGCAGACGAAAATAGACTGACTGGTGAATTCATTCATCAACTTAATCTGAAAAACGACCTTCAGTAGGAACAAAATGAGCGGGAGCCGAACATCTCTATGCAGATCACACATGCGGAGAGTGAAAAAATCCTCCACAATTTCCACTAGGCTCGTAGTTCATCCGCGTTCTCTTTTTTCGTCTCAATCAAAGCGGTCAACCGTATTCTGATCATGCAAATTTAAAAGTTCGTTTTGTTTTCGCCTACTCGGTGGATTTATCATCTCTGCATCATGTTACCTGGAAAGTATACTGATACATTTGGTTGGGGTATCAAGCACACACAGATACAATTGCCGAGGTCCATTAACCCGTAAAAATCTAGATGCGCCAAAAGAATCTAATAACCTATAGACATTAGAATAAGCAGACAGAATCGACAATAAGCAGTTGTTCTGATGAATAGGTGTCACTAAATCAACGTGTCCAAGCTGAAGTCCAATGGGGAAAAAATGGATATGCCTGGAGATGAAGAGAAGATGACACGTATGGGGAACCGAATTTTGAATGATCTCGAATCTTAATAAAATCATAGTCANCATATGGATCAATCAGTGTTCGACGCTATCAAGCAGTCTGCGTCAATCATTCCATATCCAAGGTTCAAAAGACTGGCCTACAATTAGGACCAATTCTTTCTATGATCAAAAACTGAACCAACAGACTGCTTCGTAAGAATCCTCGAAACCGTGCAGCAAAAGGTTTGCAGTATACAGCTTGCGAGACACATTTGGATTGGTGAACATCACTAGTGAACGGAATTTGATGAATGAATAACCGTTCCCCTTGGATGTAACGTCCCTGTTGACGAATACGCCATTCTTGGAAGCGATCCATTTCCACCACTTGGTGAATGATATATTCTGTCTCACACAGAAAGGCAGAAACTTGACAAGAGTGCTTTGAACATGCAGTGAAGCTCACGAGTCGATTCAGTTCACTTAGGAAACAGAAGAGAACGTCAGCTGGGACTTCTTAGACTTGTCACTTCTCCAAAAAAACGGTTATTCGCAGCGTCTATTACACAGACGACAAACTTGGACAGGGCAGCATACAAACTTTTTCACCTTAATCTCACTCGGCTAGAAGAGAAATTTGATTCAGAGTCCAACGTGACCAGCGCGCAAAATCTGCCCTGACAGTGTGTTAAATGAAGCACTAACAAAAATTAAGTACGTTCAAAAAAGAGAATGGTTATTCGGAACGTTTCAATGAGATAAATTTTCACTAAAGGCAACTATCCAAACCAACTCACGAGGCTCAGAAAAAGAAATTATTCCTTCATTTACCTTTTCAATGAGATGTGATATCTGAACTCTTGAACAAATGTGTGAGGCGTGCAGTGAAGTGGAACTGGAACGTAGTTCGACTATCGTGTTTGTTCGCAGGCTCATCAATGATCTGACCCAGCCACAAATACTGGCTGTCTAAGCTGGTCGCTTCTATGGTTAGTTACTCATTCAGGTTAGTGTGTAACGCAACGTACATTGGCTGTACTGCGACATAACTATTTCAGATAACGAAGAAACACTGTTTACACCGGTTAAGATCGGGGATACAAGGAGCATAGGAAGTGTCATTCTTGGTTATCTAGTGAATAAAGCGGTCGAATGGCAGTGCGATGAATCCATCGTTTCACATTATCCTGTCCCTCCCACCCGTGATTTGAAACAATTGAACCTATCAGCGATTTGATTGGATCATTTTCCGCAATTTGCGAAAATTGGAATCTCTCAACCAGACACGAGACTGCCTGATTACCGGCTCTCTTGTTGTAACCTGTAATTCAGTTATGTGATGATGTTACTCCTGCTGTGCACAGTCTAAGTTCCCTGGGTATGCTAAAAGGTCGCAACTGTGGATAATGTGTTAGTCCTCGCTGGGGTTAGCTATACAAGTATCAGATCCCTCGTTGCTGCTGCACCATTCGACCGATCGACAAATGAGCCCGATAGATCAGCTGGTTGTCAGACCGGCACATGAGGAGGATAATTTATAAATCCAAATGCTGCTTAGGGGTCGGTAGAGAGTCACTACAGGACAAACAGTTGTGGAACGATGCGCCATCTGGGCAGTTCGGAATGGAAAATGTTTGAGCCCAAGTTTAGACCAGCATCCGCATTTAGGATTATCTGTCTTGTGCCTCCCACGCCTCAAAGTCCCAGTGCGGACACATTAGCCATTGCCGAGACTATAGGCATTCGTCTCCCCTCACCACCACTATGTTCTCCATTTGCCCCAGCCCCAAACTAGTCCCTAAGATCATCATCATCACCAACAATTCAACCACTATCGATTTCACTCTGGCGCGAACACAGGACTCACCGCTTTTCTACACCCATCCCGAATTACCTTTCGACCCAGCGAGAAAATGTGTTCCCACTAACTACAAACTCATATGCTCTGTACGGACAGGATTTTAAATCATTCGAAAGCATTTTTTAACCTTCGGAGTTGTGTTTTAATGTTACGGTGAATACGGTGAATGTGCGCTACCGACAAGTCCCCATTAACTACAAACTCTTAGATGACTTGTAGGATTGTTCACCTTCAAACTTGTGTTTTAATGTTACAACGGGATTATTTTGGGACTGTGAATATACACTATCAACTACACTATCAACTGTACCAAGCCTATGAACGCCGAAGGACAGAGATGTGTTCAATTCTGGTTTAAGTCTTTACGCACCCTTGATCAAATCCAAAATAAGATTAAACAGCAAAACTGTGAACAAAATGTTTTTTACGGGAGAAATGGAGGATTTGATTTGTTTTGATGATGAATCCGTTGTGTAAATGAGGCGTGAACTGAAAAGCTGGGAAGAACTGGACAGCTGTTTCGACCTGGTTGGGTCTCATCAGCAGTGCGAATCCATCGACCCAACTGCGGATCGAAATGAGAAACCGTGACCGAGTGGGTAGTATGCTTGCGTTCTATCTGTTGGGTCCCGAGTTCGATCCCCAGTTGGGTCGAGGGATTCGCACTGCTAATGAGACCCAACCAGATCGAAACAGCTGTTCAGTGCTTCCCAGCTTTTCAGCTCACGCTCATGACTGATTCATCATCGAAATGTTTCCTCATTTGGCGCACGCAGAAACGGAGCGGTACACACAAAACAACTCGGTGCATTTAAAGAACAACTCAATCTGTTTCGTTATCTGCGGTAGAATTTAGCAACTGAAATCAAAGTCATCGATACTTCCAGTGCTTGAGTAATCATTTGATTAATGGCCGCTAAGGTCCCGTCACCGTCGAGACTGTAAGAGTTTGTCTCATTGTTTCATACAACTTTTCATTTTGTGCAGAGGTTCACTGCATTAAAGTCAAACAGACATTATTCATTTTTTTCGACAGTGCAACTGCAGACAAGTACGGGGGGGGGGGTNGGGGGTTGAGTCGTGTCATCGCACAACAGTTTCTCCTCGGAATAGTGAGTTCATTGTGCCGTTTTAGCACGGGATGATGAGCAAGACAGGATGAAAAACATCGACCTTGCTTATTGTTGGAGAAACCTGGTCTTCCAATACCCCCAGCAAACGGCACTGTAGCTGGTAGCTAATCCTAAAACATGCCGATATTGGAACTTGTAAAGCACAAACTCCGACAGCAACGAGATTTCTTGACTGCTCGACTAGACAGTAATTTTAAAATTTATTGGATAGAATACATACAGCCTGACAACGTATCACATAAAGCTAAGAAAATAATTGTTTTTGCGATTAGTGTTTATATACACACCTAAACCAAACTTGTGTCCGCTGATCAGAATGAAAGTCATTTATTGGAAATTGAAGGCGAAAGACTACATATTGCGCAGAGAGTACATCGGTACGTTCAAAGATCCGCGCATAACTCGCATTGGATTTTTTATTCACATGCTGACCATTCCACTTTGAGGCACACAATTTCGACACGAGTTATCATGTTACTTCAAGGTAAAAGAACACAAACTGAATGTCTTCTGACGGTCGTGACAAAACTTGGTGTATAGAATAAGGGTTGTATCGTCATTCTTATTCTAGTGAAACCATTTTGGTTTTTTGGTTTTACCGATTCTTACGTCCTCTTCTATTTACTTTTCCTCCCCTGCACAAGTGGCTATTCACCTGATCCGTTGTGAATACTCTCCAGATGTCGCATTTATTACTTTCAGCCACCTTTTATGCCCCAGTAATACGCAACTGCGCAACACTCCCCCCCTTTCGCTCGTCCCTCCAACGTACACTGTTGAGACCTTTAAACGCGGAGAAAAGAACCCGACTGTAGCATGAATGTTCTTTGTTTCCTCAAATGCAAAGTATCTTCTTGCCATATACGGTTTACAACTCTGATTTCACGGATATGTACTAAAAACTCTTCTATATTTTGATTCTTGTGAAAAATCTTACAAAAAGAACCTTTTTTGATGTCCATATTCAATACCTTCTCATTTTGAACTTCATTTGTTTTAATCAAAGTATTGAAATAATTGAACATACTCCCACTCTACAAATAACGATCATGAAGATGATCGCCCCTTCAGAATTTGTATGGATCACGTTGGTCTGAAAATTATGATTTCCCATAAATGCTATTATGCTCTACAATCCACAGTGTGACACGACTTCGCTGTTAATCGAAGACGTTTATTCTCACTAACGTACAATGGTCTTGGTGGTGGTAGTGGTAGTGGTGGTGGTGGTGGTGTAGGAGTCATTGTATTCAGCTGGCTCTAAAATGTTGCCATGCGTGATTTCGTATCACATTTATATTTATTGTTAGCTTCCTTGCTCAGATCGAAAACAGGAAGAAACCCATCTGCCAACACAAAAATCTGATTTTCCATTGAATTTATTCTCATCACGAAGACTTTTCGTTCTCTTCCGTATTTTTCCCGCAAAATAACCTATTGGAACGTTGTTATCGCAAGCAGAAGGGATTCACCCGGATTTATTGCCGCTATCGTCATCGGTGCACTCTTGGGAACGTTCGTTATTGTGGCCGTTGTGGTGGCCGTAATAATCATACAACGCCGTAGAAGTAGGTTCTCTCATAACAGCTTGAATCTCTGTTCGTCTTCTTGCTTCTATTTGAACCAATTGTTTACTAACTGATGTTAACTATATATTTGGTATAAACAAACAAATTCCATTTTTTATTTTGAAAAAATGCATTTTTGTAAGTAGATGCACTGAATTTCTGTTATGATGTTTGATAAGAAGCTCTGTGTAGTGTCTCGACAGTAAACTCGGATGAAAACCGCAAGGTCAAAAATACGCGTTCATAAGTGCGGTCTTGATGATTCGCTTGACTTATTGGGTGGATGACCCGTATTTGGAGCCAATGGCTGCATGAATTAGATAAGATGTTCACAGAGAGTACACGCTACCACTAAGTTCCAACAAGGGTAAGCCGAGGTTTCTCTTAAATTCCTTCACAAAAAGGCATTTTCAAGTCATATTGTGCAGCGGCAGTTGTTCCTCACGTGGAACGCTCTATTTATTGGTGCTGGTTACAGCTCATGAGCAGCGAAAAGAGTTTTGTAAATCTGAAGAAACGTTATTGCTTTCTTTCTCTAGCAGATGCGTTTGAGAAGAAGTTATTTGGCATATCGTAGATTACTTCAACTTCCCATCGTCATTAGCCTTTTATTTACATTAACCAGGTTGATGACTTAAGTATCACCAAATTCGGGATTGAACGAGTATCAGAAATTCGTTGCTGTTTATGCTCTTCATAAGTTTATTTTTTTATTTTAATTCTACAGTAAAGAACATTATGCAGACTTGGGCATAGAGCACTTTTTCGTGCCATATTGGAACGTAACGACTGAAGATTGCCTTCACAAATGACTCACATGCGTCTTAGTTCCAGCCAACAGAAAGACATCTGTCTCTTTCGAAACTGAATAACCTCCCATTTTGATTATTTTCTTTGTGTATTTATATTCAAATAGGAGCAGCTCAACCTTCCGCATATCCACCGCCTCAATCCTATCCGCATCAATATCCAACAACGGGCGATCCACCACAGTACACGTCGGTAGAAGCTCCGCCATATCCATCGCGTTCAACCATGCCCTATCCGGATGACCCACCACCATATCCGTCGTCGGTACGCTCTGGTCCTTCCCCTATGTACCCACCAAGACCAAAGTGAACTAGTGTAAAACTACATCTGGTGAGTTCAGATAAATGAATAAAGAACGCGGTACGTGAATCAAACAATCAATATGCTTGAATATTTAAACAAAGAAAAAAAGTAACGCAACACCTGTAAGTAAAGCTAAGATACATATACAAACATTTGGAGGAATATTTGAGTCGTGGTCTACTTTTCAACAACTTTTGAAGTGTAGTTTCACATTCTGACAAATATTTTTAGCTATTTATTTCCGGGTAACTGTTGATACTAAAGTACTTTCCAACTGAAGTCATTCGTAATAAAATTTGTTCAGGTTTTCTTAACTGGTATCTATCAAACAAAATCCGTCACAGCATGTCAGAAATCAAGGAATGATGAAAACGTTTTTCTGTAGTGTCCTGTACTGAAGTCTTGCACATCAGGCTCGACATTTTACTAGTTAACCAGAAAAGACCTTTGGTGAAACTTCAATAGGGTTCACAGTGATTCATTGAGGCAGTTTTTCTGTGGTACGCTAATCGTATAAGAATCTATACCTTTTGCAAGTCAAGTTGTCCCAATATCATATCAAGATGCCCTCGGAATCTTTCAAGATGTCCGGGAATCAGTTCAAGTTTGCTGACCATTACTTCAAGATGTCCTCGGATTATTTCAAGCTGTCGCATTGATCTCACCGGTGCTGACAAGCCTCCCAGCGATGTCTAGCTGACTACCATGTAACACCGACTTTTCTACCTCCCGCTGAAGTGCGAGGGGCGATTGTGGGACGAGCTTCGGTCACACACATCAATTCTCATGGCACACATATCGGTTGTTTACCTTGTTAGTACGCGTACGGCTCGGTATGTGTGATTGTGTGTTTGTCCCCGTCCGCTGATACCAATGAATCATGCGCGACCAACGCTTGAGCCATTGCTTACCTCCATCGCACGATGCTGCAATAGGATTCATAAGCTACACCTCAGGCGGCTGCACTGGGACACCAATAGATCATGCTCGATCGATATAAACATCAGTATTGACCAGATTCACAGCCAGTTTGTTCGACACTTTCAGGTCATAATCCATCTACGTGACCCCACCACAGGAGCACCTTCAAGCACTGGATAATCAAAATGACCATTTGGCCATATTTTTCGAAAGGAATGAGATATCTCTATCAAATTAACTGCAAGAGAAATAACGTAACGAGGGCTGTCGAAAGATGCCATAATTTTCACAAAAGCTACGGGATTTTACAAGAAAATACAACTTAAAAAATTGGGATGTTTCCAAAATGCACCTTTGGATTATGGGCTCTGAATTCGGTAATCTTTATCGCTGAAATCATATAGTATTGCTTAAAGACCTTCTTTACACAAAGTAAACCGGGTGAATTTAAGTTAACGTATGACATTCGCATGCAGTAAGTACAAACTGTCTTCGAATAATGTTATTGCCATTGTCGCATTTCTCCATTCAGTTTCACCATGGGAACACCACCGTGGTCGTTCTTAGAATAAGGATTACGGAAGCCACCACCAATCAGAAATTGTGGAAATATTTGATAAGTTAGTAAGTATTAGGAGATCAGAGCANATCATAGCTGAACCACAACAAGGTATTTTATAGTTTTTGCAGTCCACCCAAGGAAAACGATGGAGGTACAGTTGATGAACATTACACATTGGTAAACAAAGGATGAAACAACCCATGCATCTGGCGTAATATTACCTAGGCTCACATATCTGAAAAGGGGGGATGACATTTTCCGGCGCAACATTTTATGAAGCAGGTCCAAAGGAGAGAAGATTTTTGGACCTACATCGATGTCTTGGATAAGCATGCA